ACAAAGTTCTTTGTCTCCACTGACTCCTAAGTGCACCACTCACCCTTTTCCCCTCATCAATTCTATGATTCACCTCATCTTTCATAGACCCATCCGCTGACACGTCCACTCCCAAATATCTGAATACATTCACCTCCTCCATACTCTCTCCCTCCAATCTGATATCCAATCTTTCATCACCTAATCTTTTTGTTATCCTCATAACCTTACTCTTTCCTGTATTCACTTTCAATTTTCTTCTTTTGCACACCCTACCAAATTCATCCACCAATCTCTGCAACTTCTCTTCAGAATCTCCCAAGAGCACAGTGTCATCAGCAAAGAGCAACTGTGACAACTCCCACTTTATGTGTGATTCTTTATCTTTTAACTCCACGCCTCTTGCCAAGACCCTTGCATTTACTTCTCTTACAACCCCATCTATAAATATATTAAACAACCACGGTGACATCACACATCCTTGTCTAAGGCCTACTTTTACTGGGAAATAATTTCCCTCTTTCCTACATACTCTAACTTGAGCCTCACTATCCTCGTAAAAACTCTTCACTGCTTTCAGTAACCTACCTCCTACACCATACACCTGCAACATCTGCCACATTGCCCCCCTATCCACCCTGTCATACGCCTTTTCCAAATCCATAAATGCCACAAAGACCTCTTTAGCCTTATCTAAATACTGTTCACTTATATGTTTCACTGTTAACACCTGGTCCACACACCCCCTACCTTTCCTAAAGCCTCCTTGTTCATCTGCTATCCTATTCTCCGTCTTACTCTCAATTCTTTCAATAATAACTCTACCATACACTTTGCCAGGTATACTCAACAGACTTATCCCCCTATAATTTTTGCACTCTCTTTTATCCCCTTTGCCTTTATACAAAGGAACTATGCATGCTCTCTGCCAATCCCTAGGTACCTTACCCTCTTCCATACATTTATTAAATAATTGCACCAACCACTCCAAAACTATATCCCCACCTGCTTTTAACATTTCTATCTTTATCCCATCAATCACGGCTGCCTTACCCCCTTTCATTTTACCTACTGCCTCACGAACTTCCCCCACACTCACAACTGGCTCTTCCTCACTCCTACAAGATGTTTTTCCTCCTTGCCCTATACACGAAATCACAGCTTCCCTATCTTCATCAACATTTAACAATTCCTCAAAATATTCCCTCCATCTTCCCAATACCTCTAACTCTCCATTTAATAACTCTCCTCTCCTATTTTTAACTGACAAATCCATTTGTTCTCTAGGCTTTCTTAACTTGTTAATCTCACTCCAAAACTTTTTCTTATTTTCAACAAAATTTGTTGATAACATCTCACTCACTCTCTCATTTGCTCTCTTTTTACATTGCTTCACCACTCTCTTAACCTCTCTCTTTTTCTCCATATACTCTTCCCTCCTTGTATCACTTCTACTTTGTAAAAACTTCTCATATGCTAACTTTTTCTCCCTTACTACTCTCTTCACATCATCATTCCACCAATCGCTCCTCTTCCCTCCCGCACGCACTTTCCTGTAACCACAAACTTCTGCTGAACACTCTAACACTACATTTTTAAACCTACCCCATACCTCTTCGACCCCATTGCCTATGCTCTCATTAGCCCATCTATCCTCCAATAGCTGTTTATATCTTACCCTAACTGCCTCCTCTTTTAGTTTATAAACCTTCACATCTCTCTTCCCTGATGCTTCTATTCTCCTTGTATCCCATCTACCTTTTACTCTCAGTGTAGCTACAACTAGAAAGTGATCTGATATATCTGTGGCCCCTCTATAAACATGTACATCCTGAAGTCTACTCAACAGTCTTTTATCTACCAATACATAATCCAACAAACTACTGTCATTTCGCCCTACATCATATCTTGTATACTTATTATCCTCTTTTTCTTAAAATATGTATTACCTATAACTAAACCCCTTTCTATACAAAGTTCAATCAAAGGGCTCCCATTATCATTTACACCTGGCACCCCAAACTTGCCTACCACACCCTCTCTAAAAGTTTCTCCTACTTTAGCATTCATGTCCCCTACCACAATTACTCTCTCACTTGGTTCAAAGGCTCCTATACATTCACTTAACATCTCCCAAAATCTCTCACTCTCCTCTGCATTCCTCTCTTCTCCAGGTGCATACACGCTTATTATGACCCACTTCTCGCATCCAACCTTTACTTTAATCCATATAATTCTTGAATTTACACATTCATATTCTCTTTTCTCCTTCCATAACTGATTATTCAACATTACTGCTACCCCTTCCTTTGCTCTAACTCTCTCAGATACTCCAGATTTAATCCCTTTTATTTCCCCCCACCGAAACTCCCCTACCCCCTTCAGCTTTGTTTCGCTTAGGGCCAGGACATCCAACTTCTTTCATTCATAACATCAGCAATCATCTGTTTCTTGTCATCCGCACTACATATATATATATATATATATATATATATATATATATATATATATATATATATATATATATATTATATATATATATATAATATTATATATATATATATATATGTATGCAAAACAACCACTCTGAAAGAATAGAGAAATTCCAAGCGCTTTCGTGACTACTCACATTATCAAGTTCCTTGATAATGTGAGTAGTCACGAAAGCGCTTGGAATTTCTCTATTCTTTCAGAGTGGTTGTTTTGCATATTTTGAAATCACCTGTTTACTGTGATCTTATTGCATATATATATATATATATATATATATATATATATATATATATATATATATATATTATATATATATATATATATATATATATATATATGCAAAAAAAACCACTGTGAAAGAATAGAGAAATTCCAAGCGGTTTCGTGACTACTCGCATTATCAAGGAACTATGAAAGTAAAGCATCCAAGGAAGGTATATAAGGGGTCTGGCCAACACCTCACTATCAGATCCCACAACAGTTAAACACCTGACGTGCGCCGGCCCAACTGGACAGGTCCTTCGCACAACCCACCAACAAACTATTCTACCCATGAAAATTTTAAAAATTATTATTTGTCCAGTGTATTATTAAAGTCTTCCCAAATTCTATTAATTATAAATGGATCTAATTTATATAAACCAAAGGAAATATTCATATTATTGTCAAAACTGCTTTTTTTGAAACAAGATTCAATTATATTCCTGGTTTAGAAAGACACGTAAGCAAACACTATGACATATTTATTAGAAAACGTTTCGGTCCTGGGACCTTGATCAAGGTCCCAGGACCAAAACGTTTTCTAATAAATATGTCATAGTGTTTGCTTACGTGTCTTTCTAAACCAACTTGTCGGTATTTATTACCAAGGTTTATACCAATTATATTCCTGTCGACCATGGACTTGCTTGATACAACTTTCTCAACTTTTTGAAAATCAATTGGATGGTTAAAATCTCTTACATGAATAAACAGAGCATTGGAATCTTGTCCAGTTCTAATGCTATATTTATGTTGTTTTAATCTTAGTTCGAGATTTTTACCAGTTTGACCGTAATAAACTTTATCGCAAATTTTACAAGGAATCTTATAGACTCATCCATCAGCATTTTGGGGGGAATTCTTTATCAAAAGTTTTTTTACTGTATCAGGATTTTTTAATACGACTTTAACATTAAAAGTCTTAAGAAGAGAAGGCATATCAACCAAGTTTTCATCGTAAGGGAGAACCAACATATTTTTAGTTGAATAAGGCTGGTTGTCCCTTTTTGGATTGTAAAAAGTATTTCTAGCAACTTTAAAAGATTTATCAATTAATATTAAAGTTGTATTCAAAAATCTTGATACAGTAAAAAAGCTTTTGATAAAGAATTCCCCCCAAAATGCTGATGGATGTGTCTATAAGATTCCTTGTAAAATTTGCGATAAAGTTTATTACTGTCAAACTGGTAAAAATCTCGAACTAAGATTAAAACAACATAAATATAGCATTAGAACTGGACAAGATTCCAATGCTCTATTTATTCATGTAAGAGATTTTAACCATCCAATTGATTTTCAAAAAGTTGAGAAAGTAGTATCAAGCAAATCCATGGTCGACAGGAATATAATTGAGTCTTGTTTCATAAAAAGCAGTTTTGACAATAATATGAATATTTCCTTTGGTTTATATAAATTAGATCCATTTATAATTAATAGAATTTGGGAAGAATTTAATAATACACTGGACAAATAATAATTTTTAAAATTTTCTTGGGTAGAATAGTTTGTTGGTGGGTTGTGCAAAGGACCTATCCAAGTTGGGTCGGCGCGCGTCAGGTGTTTAACTGTTGTGGGATCTGATAGTGAGGTGTTGGCCAGATCCCTTATATACCTTCCTTGGATGCTTTACTTTCGTAGTTCCTTGATAATGTGAGTAGTCACGAAAGCGCTTGGAATTTCTCTATTCTTTCACAGTGGTTGTTTTACATATTCTGAAATCACCTGTTTACTGTGATCTTACTGCATATATATATATTATATATATTTATATATATATATATATATATATATATATATATATATTTTATATATATATATATTTTATATATAAACACTGCGGCTAGCCAGGGGATAGAACTCGTGTTATTTTCCTTATTTAGCAATTTTTTGCAGGAGGAGTTACTAGCCCCTTGCTCCCCCCCCCCCACACACACACAAACTTGCTATTTTGGCTTAAACAGCAACGTTCTTCTCGTCAAATAAGGCAAGAGGAAATTTGTGTATGAAATAACTTAAGTAATTTTGAAAAACAATCCGGAAAATTGTATAGACTACTGATACACCCGTGATTGTGTGGAACACTTAAATTTTAAGACATGACTGATCATCAAAAAAAGAGAAGCGGGGCATGTGGATAAGGACTCCCCAGGGCCCATCACTTAATATTACTATGCAATAAAACAAAAATCATAAATGTGTAAAAAAATACACTTCTACATAATTCATTATATAAGCTTTATTCACATTATATAATTTCTAGGTAAGGTTATTTAAAAATACTTCATATAATGAGCAAATAGTCATGTACTCAGTAATTTGTGCCTCACTGGCCAAATTCCTCAAGTACTGTGTGGTAAACTTAATAATTTGATATTTACAAAAAAAGTGGTGTATGCAAGTCTTTTAAGGTTATCTCTGAATATGTTACTTTATACTGACATACATCACATGCTCTGAGCAGATTTGATCACAGCGTAGTTGGTAAGCTTAAACGTAAAAAACAGCCAAATATTCTTATAGCGTCATCTAGTTTATAAAGCTTCTCTAATATAGAGCGATTATTGTAAATGCGGTTGAAAAAATGTACCTGTAAAGGCCCTTAGAATATTTGCTCTTTTATTTTCAAATGCATTTAAACAAATCGCACTTTATAGATGAACTTTTTAAGAAAGCCTATTATAATTCCTCCATTACTCTATATTGGATGATTAAAACGAGTATAACAATCACAGTTTACTTATATAAAATGACTTGCAGAAATCAACATGGCATGGAAGCCTCTTGTAGTGTCGTTCCTGACATCTGAGAATGTACACAGTTCTGCTGCAGGATTCAAAGCAATCCGGATTCGTTTTCGTTTCTTCTGTCACCGGTGGATGAAAGAACGCTTGTTGATGACAGTAAAGTCTCAGCAGAGCTTTGACGCTAATTTGGCTGCCACTTTCGTGACGTAGTCTAAGGTGAGCAAGTCGAAAACGTTCTTGAATCCTCAGGTAAGTGAAAGATACGTACAAACCAAGAAGAATAGGATATATTGGTCTTTTACATCTGAATTCTGAGCTATTCCTTTAGCTCTTCTGGGAAGTAGTGGTTTTTGGTCCTCCTGCTAGACGGTGACCTGAACTTTTGAGAGCCCTTTGAATGGAGCCTGTGCCAGAAGTATCGCCGTTGCTGAAGCCACTCGCTGGAGCACTTGCGCTTTGAGAGAGATTTAAAGGTGTACTTGATGAGCCACTCACTGGTAATCCTGAATTACTAAAGGTACCAGCAGGGAAGCCATTGCTTCCGAAGCTTGCAGCAGGGAAGCCTGTGTTACCAAAAGTACCAACAGGGAATCCTGAGTTACCAAAGGCTCCAGCAGGGAATCCTGAGTTACCGAAGGTTCCAACAGGAATGCCTGTGTTTCCAAAGGCTCCAACTGGGAATCCTGTGTTTCCGAAACCCCCAGCAGGTACATTAGTGTTTCCAAAGCCACCAACAGGTAATCCAGTGTTACTAAAAGCAGCAGCAGGGAAGCCTGAGTTACCAAACGTTGCAACTGGTATGCCTGTGTTTCCAAAGCTTCCAGCAGGGAATCCTGTGTTACCGAAACCTCCGGCAGGGAACTGGGTATTACCGAAGCCGGCAGGGAACTGAGTGTTGCCGAAGTTTCCAACAGGGAACTGTGTGTTGCCGAAGTTTCCAACAGGGAACTGTGTGTTGCCGAGGCTTCCAGCAGGGAACTGAGTGTTACCGAGACTTCCAGCAGGGAACTGTGTGTTACCAACGTTTCCAGCAGGTAAACCTCTGTTTCCAAAGCCACCAGCAGAATTGTCTGAGTTAGCAAAGGCGTTTACTGGAAATCCTGAGTTACCGAAACCTGGGTTGTTGAATCCATTACCTTGCAGGCCATTCTGTCCACTACCAGCAGCTAAACTGAGCGGATTAAAGTTATTACCTCCGTTGAATGGGGTACCGAAGCCTCCGTTGCCAAAGCCACCTCCGTTGTCAAATCCACCTCCGTTGTTTAGGCCCAAGTCATTAATGTTCAGGGAGTTCAAGAGGCTTTGGGGATTGTTGAAGGCAAATGGAGAAATTAAACCATTTTGAGCAGGAAAACTACCAGGTAGGGCAAAACCGCCTGGCGAGCCAAATGCTGGTGCTCCAAACCCACCTGTTGAGTCAAAACCGCCTGGAAAGCCAAAATTATTCTGTGAGCCAAAACTACCTGGGGTACCAAAGTTATTCTGCGAGCCAAATCCGCCTTGTCTAGGAAAGCTTGAGGAGCTACCTCCAGTGGATACACCCCGACCACTGTCACTCGACGAGCCTCTGTTGCCGTTGGTGTTGCTATTGGCATCATCAACATAGGTGATCGAGGTTCTACCGTCGTCAAAGACTCCTTGGCTGTTTTGACCTCTCTGCCTGCCTGAGGATGGTCCTGATGTCACTCCACCTCTTCTTGTTCCTCTTGAAGTGTCTCTGTCGGAGTCTCCTAGACCAAGCTGTGGCCTGCCGACAGACGACCCCACCAGCAGGACAAGAACTAGGAGACCAGAGTTCCGCTGAAAATTAAAAATTTGTTAGTGAACTGGCTATTCAAACAAAAAAAATATGATAGCGAATAGAGCAAAAAGCGACTGGTGTTCTGGTAATTAAAACTACATGATCCTGGGGAAACAAGCTTAGATTTTTAAAAGGTTAGTGGAAGATTAAACAGTAATGTCAAGTAGTTTTAAGTTTCACTTACAGTCTTCTAGAAACGCTTTGTATAACAATGGGTTTCTCAAAATCTATGAAATAAATTTTACCTTATTAGTAAAATTGATTATTTTGTTAATTTGGTTTTTAGCGCGTCAAATATTGAAGAGTTGACAGTGTTGTTAAGAACAAGAAATAGGGAAAAATTATAAATAGAAGAAAGAAATAGGACAGATAACAAGAGGGGGACTGAATGAAAAAAAAACGAAGATTAAAGATTGCTGTGGTGGAAAGAGGGAATGAAAGAAATATAACAAAATGATTAACCAAATAAATGACTAACAAAAAAAAAATCACCTTATAGCCACATAAATGCAGTAGTAATAGTCTCTTATTCGATTCTGGAAAATATTTAGTTTGCCACTTTTCAATTGACTAATCCGTCCTCCATGAAATTGCTTGTGTACTTGTCTGAATGAATCTTGGATAAATGAAAAAAGGAGTAAAGAAAAATAAGAGGTATCACAAGAGAAGTAAAGAAAAAAAATGGGGTGAAAGTTGGTTTTGGTATCTTGAAATGGTGATAGTTCGATTTAGGACCAAAATGAATGAGAAATGGGAAAATAACCTTAAGACTCTGTGAAGAAATCAAGAATGGGTTAAGAGAGGAAAAACGGAAAGTAAGGAACTAGAGAGAATGAAAGGAAAAAAGAAAAAAGAGGAGGTGAAGAGAATGAGGGAGAGATTGGAAAAAGATTGTCACAGTTAAGTGGGGAAGCAGAAAGGAAAGAGAGAGAGAAAAAAAATCGTGAAGATCAAACAGTAAGGGAGATGATGAAACAGAGAGGAAACTTGATAACAGAAAGGTCAGTCTGAAGGAAGCGATAATGGGAGAAAAAATAAGTGAGATCATTGATGATCTATGTTATTCAGGATGATAGTAGGACCGAAAGGAAAGAAAGGAGGGAGACCTGGAGTATACCTGGAGAGGGTCTCGGGGGTCAACGCCCCGGTGCCAGGTCTGAGACCAGGTCTCGGAAAGAAATATCAGAGGGATGACTGAATTACCATTAAGAGAAGAAACTGCACAACAAAAGGCACATGTTTAAACAATCATGAAGTACTGACGGAATAAACGAAGCTTAAACTACCCTTCCATTCAAAATCCTTACCAAATAGAACCTTATGTCTGAACCTGTGTCTGAGAACATAAAGATACTATCATGCATACCTGGAATGGAAAACACTTAAAAAGGACAGGGGACAGCTGATGGAGCTAATATCACACCGACAGGATGGAGAAGGAAAGAGGAAGGGAAAACCCAGCCGCAAGAATTCCTTTAATTCAGGAAACCCTCCCTGCCTAGCTCCCAGCAAGGTTACCTCAAGGTCCACCTCCTCTCTTCCACACAATGCTAATAATACAGAACCTGCCACACCCTTTCTCTCTCTTTCCCCTCCTACAACCCCGACCCATTCCTCTCTAACTCTGCATAAACAAAAAATCTCACTCATAACCCTATTCATCCAGCCCTCAGAACCTTACCCATTCAAGCTCCACCCCTCCTCCACAACACATGATCAAGGAATAGGAAGCCAGCACACTTCAAAATAGAATAAGTGACTGGAAGGTCAAATTATGGTACACAAGCACAAATGCAATTTTAAAAAAGATAATACAAATTGAAAGAACAAATAGGAGAGATAAACCCAAACACCATAGCTCAGAGATGAAACTAACCCAGGTAAGAAATTCAATATTCCCAGCATGATGTCAAGTACTAAGGAAAGAAATGGGAAGCAGAGGTGGGAAAAGAATATCACTATTAACCATTAACTAATGAATTTTCGAAGAGATGAGAAGCATAAACAAAGGTGTCACAGGTTTACATAATAGACTCAGTCAAGATTAAGTGATTCAAAGTAGTAGAACCAGTGATCTACAACTTACTACCAAACAGCAGGAAACCAAGGTAAGATTATGAGGACAATAACAAGAGAATACATGTTCAAAGCAAAGTTATTAACCATGGGAGATCTTCAGTCGTAAATAAATTAACTGAGATAGTTCGTATTCATGTGAAGGACCGAGAACATGGATGACTAAGGTGATAGAAGTAGCGATAAAAAATTTTATGTTCTAGCATATCAGAGATACAAAGAGAGAGAGAGAGAGAGAGAGAGAGAGAGAGAGAGAATGCTGGCCCACAGATGGCTCCAACTTCATCCTGTTCCCTACTTGTATGTCTCATAATAAATATGCTTTCAAATGAGCTGATGTAGGTAACAGCTCTTAGCTTGTCAATAAAGCTAGGGATCCTTAACCTTGTCAAACCCTGTGTAAAAAAAAAAAATAGCAAAATTTAACCTGGTTTTTACCTTCAATACACACTTAAACTCAGTTTCCTGAGTTGTGAGAAGAGATTAGAAGAGACGAACTGAATGAAATGATTGGATAAAAGCATCTGGAGAGACGCGGTAAAAATATATAAAATACTCCTAGCACTTGCTAGGCGGGGAATGGGTACACAAGGTCACAGATGAGTCACAGGGCATCATGAAATATTTCAACATGTACTCACCGCACCTAGCTGTAC